CGGGGGTCTCCTCCCCCCCCCCAGAACAAATCGGAGCGGCCGGGACCCGACAAGAAACGGGGGGAGCTGGGTGAGCGATTTGGGGGGTCCCGACCCCCCCAATGAAATTTGGGGGTCCTGACCCCCCCCACTTCAACTTTGGGGGGTCCCGACCCCCTCCCGACAGATTTGGGGGGATTCTGGGGGGTCCTGACCCCTCCAATTCAAATTTGGGGGGTCCCGACCCCCCCACTTCAAATTTGGGGGTCTCGACCCCCCCAATGAAATTCGGAGGGTCCTGACTCCCTTCACTTCAAATTTGGGGGTCCTGACCCCCCCCCCCGACATATTTCGGGGGGGGTTGGGGGGTCCTGAACCCCCCCATGAAATTTGGGGGGTCCTGATCCCCCCACGTCAAATCTGGGGGGGGATTTTGGGTGCTCCCGATCGCCCCCACTTCAAATTTGGGGGGATTTTGGGGGGTCCTGACCCCCCCGCGGTGAAATTTGGGGGGTCCTGACCCCCCCCAATTCAAATTTGGGGGGATTTTGGGGGGTCCTGACCACTCCAGTTCAAATTTGGGGTTTTTTTGGGTGTCATAACCCCCCCAGAATGAAAATTGGGGGGGTCCTGATCTCCCCCTCAGATGAAATTTGGGGGTCCTGACCCCCCCCAATCAAATTTGGGGGGTCCCGACGCCCCCAACTTCAAATTTGGGGGTCCTGGCCTCCCCCACTTCAAATTTGGGGGGTCCCGACCCCCCCAACTTCAAATTTGGGGGGGGTTTTAGGGGGTCCTGATCCCCCCCATGAAATCTGGGGGGTCCTGACCCCCCCTTAGATGAAATTTGGGGGGTCCTGACCACCCCCCAATTCAAATTTGGAGGATTTTGGGGGGTTCTGACCCCCCACTTCAAATTTGGGGGGTCCCGACCCCACCAGTTCAAATTTGGGGGAGTTTTGGGGGGGGTCCTGACTCCCCACAGTGGAAATTTGGGGGGTCCCGACGCCCCCCAAGATGAAATTTTGGGGGTCCTGGGGGTGTTTTTACCTCGTCCCCCCCAAATTCCACTTTTGGGGGTTCTGGGGGGATCCCAAATCCTTTTTTTGGGGGTCCCGGGAGGTGTTTTGGGGTTTTTGACCCCCCAAATCCATTTTTGGGG